GACATGTTCTCCCCGTGTCAGCGTGGGTTTCCTCCAGGTGCTCCGACATGTTCTCCCCGTGTCAGCGTGGGTTTCCTCCGGGTGCTCCGACATGTTCTCCCCGTGTCAGCGTGGGTTTCCTCCAGGTGCTCCGACATGTTCTCCCCGTGTCAGCGTGGGTTTCCTTGGGGACTGCTGTCTGACGGCTCTGTAGCACCCACTAGTGGCGGGTGGCTGCATGACAGTTAAGCAGCCTTGTACATGGATAAAACACTAATTGGTTTAACCGACTAGTATTTATGGTGCCGACTAGTGAGGGGGCGGACTTTTAATCATTTAGAAGTCTAATCACCCTCATCCCAAGTTAACATTAATCACAATTCTAAACAACATAAACCAAAGTTTTCTGGCTGTTTCAGTTATTAAAAACACTTCAGTCCTCATCATGGTACTGGATCTATATTTCACACCTATACTGTGTGTTGGCAGGAGGACTCTGTCTGCTCTGTGAAATGAGACGCAGCTTCGTCCAGCATAAACGAGGCGTGTATCTCTCAGTTTCTGGGATGCTTCTGAAACTCCCTGCAGGCGTCTGATGAGGTCTAACGGACTGTGTGAAGAGGCTGAGGTCAGGTCGACCTGTCAGACCTGAACTCTGCTGAGCGAGCTTTTCTAGTCTGATTAATGTTCCCTCTTTAAACCCTCAGCCTGTGGATGAATGGATGGATGAATGAATGGATGGATGGCTTTACTCCAAATCTCAGGTATAGTTAAGGTGTTTTTAACCCTTATATATCTATGAAGCCGTGCATTGAGCTCATGTAAAAGACACAGTGATAACAAACAGGTGCAGCATGTGTTTCCTGTCTGTCGAGTCAGAGAAGAAGAGAAGGGGGTTAGAGGTCGTGAATGTGGTCGAGCAGGATGTTTGAGAGACGGCTGTGACACACCTGAAACCTGGCCTCGTCCTGCTCCCAGCGGTCACAGCTAATCACTGTTCACTATGATCAGTTATTTAATCAATAAACAAACACTCCTGTGTGATGATGTCATAATGGCAGCGCCCCCTGCAGGCTGCTCTCATCATGACAGCGTGGAACCATTTCATGATGACAGCAGCTCTTAAAGGGTTAATTAGTCACAAACATTGATGACATGTGACCTGTAGGAACCAAAGATCCTCTCATAGTCAGAGAACTCACTCTGATCAACATGTCAGATATACATATGATCAGTTTTCCTCCGTTAACGTCAGAGACAGGAAGCAGGTGAATATTTAATAAAAGCAGTTTGTCTGGAGCGTCAGTAGTGCATAGTGCCGGCGCCCCATGATTAGAGGGGATGCCTCGCTGCAGCGGTCCTGAGTTGGACTCCGGTTTGCAACCCTTTGCTGCATGTCGTCCCCCCACTCTCTCTCTCACCAACATCTTCTCTCCTTTAAAAACCAAGAATACAGTTAGAAACAGAACCATGACCTTCAGCTGTTTAAATCTGAGCTGAAGTTATAAAATCAATCTGATGATTGATTCATCGTTAAAGTGACTTTTGTAGCTGTATTGTAGCTTTCTGACGTTTCATTGATCAGGAGATGAATCAGATCAATAATCTGCAAATGAACCGATGACTATTTTGTTGTTTGTTCATGAATCAGATCCACATTCAGAGTAGATATAAGCAAAGTGCTTGAACAGTAAACAACATAAATAGGGAGGATGTGAACAAACAATCACGAGTCTTCGTCTCTCTGCCGTCCTGCTCTCCTGCTTGGATGCACCTGTTGCCGTGGCAACATCCTCCACGCCGGGTGTAGCAGACGGTGGTGATGACGAATCGGAGCTGTGTGTTTTTCAGTTGTTGGAACGTGGCGAGGAGTGGGAGGTCATCTTCTCTTTTCTTCTTCTCTCTGTTGTTTAGAGTGGATGACTCACAGGACTGTTAGCTACTGGTTACCATGGTAACTGTGGACCAAACTGAAGGACAACAGGCGTGATGATGATGATGATGATGGTGATAATGAGGGTCTGACTGTTAGCATTAGCTGCCGTGCTAACTGGAAGTTCTTAAAGGAGCTTTTCGCTGAGTTCTGTGTGTGATGGCTCAGAGAGCTGACATCCTGTTGTTCTGTTTGTCTCCCTGCAGTGAAGCATCATGGGAGGTGGCAGATGGAGGAGCCGGCCGTGGGCCGACCAGAGCCTGTGACACACACACATACACACACACACACACAAATCATGGAACAAGGCTTCAGCTTAAACACGCTGGTGAGTGTACTTTGTGTGTGTGTCTCTGTATGTTTATGTGCGTGGTGTAGATAAACAAGGACATGTGAGACCTTCAAATTAAAAGCCCAGATCATGTTAAAGTTAAGTACATATTTCTAAACAAGAAAATGCAATATTAAAACTTAAATTCAGATTTGAATTCCACATTTTCTCTGCAGACGTTGTTTCAAGGACACAAAGACTTTTTACATTGTGTGTCTGTCGTTTGTCTGTCGTTGGATTTGATTTGATTTCACTCATGGGTGCAGATCCCGGGGGGGACGGGGGGGACATGCCCCCCCCCAAATTCTGAAAAACACAAATTGTCCCCCCCAATTCTAAATAGCTTAAATGATTGAAATTGAACAAATATATACAGTAGTCCTATATACTGGGAGAAAGGGAAGATGATGAGGAGAAATAGGAATCCGTGAGAGGCGAGAGATGAGAACATGAGTGGACATAACATGCCTGAGACCCTGAAACTAGAAGTAGCATTAACTAACAGCGAAGCAGTGAAAAGGAGGGTGATGGCTGGTTCCATGTACTACTGGCTGTTTAAAAGAAATAAACAGTAAAGGTAAGCATATGATTCTCTTTGTAGTGATTTTTGAATGACTTGGTGATGGTGATGAACCTCTATGAAATCGTGAAATATGCTGGCAATCTCAAGCGCTCTGTGGGCATGATTTGCACGTGTGCAATTAAAAAAAAATCACAACTGATTGTGTGTCCCCCAAACTTGTCATCAGATCTGCACCCATGATTTCACTTTATTATCAAAAACAAATGTTGTGTTTCAGGACGTAGACTGTTTTACAGAAACATTTAACCAAACTACAGAAAACACCACAGACAGTTCAGACATGATGAGTGATCATAAAACTCTGATTAAATTAGGAAAATAATAAAGAATAAAATAAATAAATGAAACATGAGAAATATTAAAACTGTGATTTGTAATTTATAAATGTTTCACTTCTTTACTTTTCATGTCCTGTTTTTATTTCCCTCCTCCGTTCATGTTCTGCTCTCTGTCTTTTTGTCCTCTCTGTCATTAGTGTGACTGATTCATGTTTCCGTCCTCGTCTGTGTCTGCGTCCATCATGTCTCTGCTGTGTCTTCTGTTCTGAGCCGGGAGCTCAGAGAACAGACGAGTGTTTATACTCCGCTCATGTTAATGAGCTGCGTAACAAACGCTGCATTCAGGCTCTCTGCAGGGACGGTAAATCTCAGCTTCCTGTCTGAGAGCCCAGTTCAGCTCAGCTGTCAGATGTTAACGAGATGTTTGATGATCATCGTTAATATCAGGACACGTTACTGACGCTCGTCTGAGGACTGAACAGGAAACTGACTGAGACCTGTTGGTGGAATGTCCCTTTAAATCATCAGTCTGAAGTTGTGTAGAGTTCAGCCTGTAGGGGGCGTCGGCTGCGTCATGCAGAGGTCAGCCTGTAGGGGGCACTGACTGGTTCCTGTTTATTTATCTCCATCAAAGACGTATTCTTAGAAAGGTAAATGGTAAACCTGACTCTGACTTCCTGTGCTGCAGAAGAAGCTGGCGGCAGAGCCAGACTACACCGATGTGTCGCTGACGGCGGCGGAGCGAGTGCGGGCGCTAGGGAAGATGGGATGCAGCGTGGAGATCAATGAGGACATCGCACCGAGGCGCTACTTCCGCTCTGGCGTGGAGATGGAGCGCATGGCGGCGGTCTACTTGGAGGAGGGCAGCCTGGAGAACGCCTACGTCCTCTACACCAAGTTCATCACGTGAGCGACATCACGACACGCCGCCATCACAGCTTCTTGTTTATGCTGATGTTTGTTTACAGTAGGAATTGTGTGTTCAGTCTGTTTGTAGAGAAGCTGCCGACGCACAGAGACTACCAGCAATGCAGCGTCCCAGAGAAACAGCTCATCATGAAGGTAATGATTATTGATTATTAGTAACCAGGAGGTGTGTGCAAACACCTGCAGCTACAGTTACCTGTGGCCAGCACCAGCAGTAGTGGCATTAGCATTAGCGTTAGCAGTCGTAGTTTAGTATTAGCAGTTGTAGTAATTGTAAAAGTTGTAGTAGTGGTAGTAGCAATAGCTTTAGCATTAGCATTACCGTTAGCAGTATTGTTAGCATTAGCATTAGTAATTCTGTCTGTGTCTTTGTGTTTACAGAAACTTCAGGAAGTTGCGTTTCCTCGTAAAGACGAGTTGAAGAAACGTCTTCAGGAGAAATACAGCAGGGAACACACCGAGTACCTCAGAGCACAGGTGTGTGTGTGTGTGTGTGTGTGTGTGTGTTGTCCAATCAGATTGCATCATGTGTTTGATTGACAGTTCATCTGATTGGATGATTCAGTTAACTTGACATGATTCAGTTTAAATCGTTCTAAAATAAAAACAGCGAGAACGTTGAATCTTTCTGCAGCAGGAAGTTCAGATTTCTGTCTTCTCTGTCATCACCGTGTACAGTCGTGATGACATCATCTCACTGTGCTACCAGAGGCGGAGCATCTCTACTGCAGATTTTAAAGTGCCCTGACACCGCTTTTAAAAGATGGTGGTCAGAGGAAGTCAAACAATCACCCAGCAGACCTGATCATGTGACTTCCTATTCCCTCAGAGCCAGGCGGCAGCGGTGGTGGTGGATGGGTGTAGCCAGCAGCTGCAGAGACTCTCCCTATTGGGTGAGGACAGGAGGCGGTACGTGCTGTTGGAGGAGGAGCGTCAGCGTGTCGCCGCCCTGCGACGCATGCAGATTGAATCAGAACAGTTTCGTTACTTCGAGGACCAGCTGAGGCGTCAGGAACTGGCCAATAGGAGAGGAGAGGAGGCGGGGCTGAAGGTGAGCTGAGGCAGCAGAGTCGTATGAATACTGTGTGTGTGTGTGTGTGTGTGTGTGTGTCAGCAGTGGTACGACAGGATGTGGTCGTATGTTTCTGACGTGTTTGTCCTGCAGGTTCAGACCAAAGTGCCTGAAGTGACAGATGGCTCCTGTCTGTCCCAGCAACCAATCAGAGACAGTGTTCGATCCCAGGGGGCGGATCCTAACCGGAACAGACCGCTAGCTCCTATCAGCCAACCAGCCGCCACGCTGGCTGGAGTACACAGTGAGTACACACACACACACACACACACACACAAAGCAGGTCTGTTAATCATGTGTGTTCCTGTGTGCGTTTGTTTCATGCGTGTGTGCAGCCCACAGGGTGGAGGGTCTGCGGCGGGTGGTGGTTCCCAGAGATCTGACATATCGTTTCCTCCTGCTGGCCGACTCCAACACCGCCAGAGGAATAGAGACATGTGGAGTCCTCTGTGGACAACTGGTGAGGCCGCTTCCTGTTTGCAGCTGATGATGTCATCGATTACTGCTCTCTGATGTCACTGACTGTGTGTCATCCGCAGACGCACAACGAGTTCCTGCTGACTCACGTGGTCATCCCCAAACAGTCGGCCGGGCCGGATTTCTGTGACATGGAGAACGTGGAGGAACTCTTCAGTTTCCAGGACCAACAGAACCTGCTGACGCTCGGCTGGATTCATGTACGACTACACGCTAAACACACACTGTAAACACACACGCTAAACTCACAAGGTGTAAACACAGGCTAAATAAATGTTAAACATGCTAAAAACACTTCAAACACATGCCTAACACACACTAAATACACTTTAGACACACCTAAAATCACATGTTAAAGACACGCTAAAAACAGTGAAACACGTGCTAATCACATGCTAAATACCACCTTAATCACACACTAGACATGCTAAAAACACGCTAAACACATGCTAAAAACGTGCCAAACACATGTTCCAAACACATTAAACACAAACACGCTAAACAGGTGTTAAACACATGATATAAACACATGAAACACAGGCTGAACACACGCTAAATACACATGTCAAACACCCAAAAAACACATAAAACCTGTTAAATACAGCATGTAAAACACACATTAAACATGCAAAAAATACATTAAACACAGGCTTAATACATATGGTAGACACACACTAAACACGTTCTACACATGCTTAACATACTAAATACATTTAAACACATGTAACATGCTAAAAACATGCTAAACACACGTTTTAAAAAACACGTTTAAAAGCATATCCTAAACTCAAACATCCTAAATAGGTGTTTAACACACATTAAACACAGGTAAAACACACAGTTAAAATAAAAACATTAAACACACACTTAACACCAATGTTAAACGCATGCTAAATACATGTTAAACACACTCTTAAAACATGTTACACACATTGATTGACGAGTTGATTATTCGACTTACTGCTGTCAGGTGTGAGTCCTCACAATGTGATATAAACCAGAGACATGTGACATTCAAATGTACAGTCGAACCTGGGAGGTCCCCACAGTGTGAGTATGTGATGAAGTGTGGGGTCCTCACAATGTTAGTAAACTGTCAACTGTGTCCTCACAATGTGATATAAATCAGGTTCACACAGACCATATCATTACAGCTCCACCCATGAGGTCCCCACAGTGTGAGTGGGCGGTCAGGTTTTTGTCCCTACAGTGTGATATAAACCACAGATACACAAACACACCCACCCAGAAAACACACACTCAGAAAAATGACCTCGTTGTACTTTTTCTTTCCTTCATTTGCATGATCAAATATCACCATGGCAACAGTGCCTGAGAGGAGAGGGGGAGGGACAGAGATAGGAGGACACGGACACGAGGTCTCACTCTGTCTTTCTGACAGATAGACAGACAGAGGTCTCACCTCACTAGACAGACTGTGTCCTCAGTGGACAGTCATGTCTGTGTCCTCACAGCGACAGTGGATAGTCATATCTGTGTCCTCACAGTGGACAGTCATGTCTGTGTCCTCACAGCGACAGTGGACAGTCATGTCTGTGTCCTCACAGCGACAGTGGACAGTCATGTCTGTGTCCTCACAGCGACAGTGGACAGTCATGTCTGTGTCCTCACAGCGACAGTGGACAGTCATATCTGTGTCCTCACAGCGACAGTGGACAGTCATATCTGTGTCCTCACAGTGACAGTGGACAGTCATGTCTGTGTCCTCACAGCGACAGTGGACAGTCATGTCTGTGTCCTCACAGCGACAGTGGACAGTCATGTCTGTGTCCTCACAGCGACAGTGGACAGTCATATCTGTGTCCTCACAGTGACAGTGGACAGTCATATCTGTGTCCTCACAGCGACAGTGGACAGTCATATCTGTGTCCTCACAGTGACAGTGGACAGTCATGTCTGTGTCCTCACAGCGACAGTGGACAGTCATATCTGTGTCCTCACAGTGACAGTGGACAGTCATATCTGTGTCCTCACAGCGACAGTGGACAGTCATATCTGTGTCCTCACAGTGACAGTGGACAGTCATGTCTGTGTCCTCACAGCGACAGTGGACAGTCATATCTGTGTCCTCACAGTGACAGTGGACATTCACGTCCTCAGATCGTCCTCAGGGTAATGACATGTTGACGATGATGTTTCTCTGTGTTCAGACTCATCCCACTCAGACGGCCTTCCTCTCCAGTGTCGACCTTCACACTCACTGTTCTTATCAGCTGATGCTGCCGGAGGCCGTTGCCATCGTCTGCGCCCCCAAACACAACGAGTAGGTCCCACACACACACACACGCACACCCACACACACACACACACACACACACACAGTAACATATAGTCTCTCATGATGTCACATTAACTCCTCCCCCTCTCTGTCTGTCAGCACCGGTGTGTTCAGGCTGAGCGGTCCGGGGATGTCGGAAGTTTCCGGCTGCAGACTCAAAGGTTTCCATCCTCACTCCAAGGATCCTCCTCTCTTCACTGTGAGCAACTTCCTGTTTCCTTTGTCCTCCGTCAGGAGCCGACCGCCGCTGATCATCATCAATATCAACATGTTCGATCAATATGTCTAAATGATCAACACGTCTAAAACCACCAATAATAATCTGAGTCACACCGTCAGGTCTGACATCACATTCGCCGAGTGCCAGGTGACTTTCTCTTTAGGAGTAAATCTCAGAGAGTTGGCCGCCGCTGCCGCTGTTGGTTAACAAGTCGTGTGATATTGCGTCGCAATAAGGTGTCATTTACAGTCGTATTTCTGTCTGTGTCTGTCTGTCGAGTGCACTCTGCAAAGTTTGTCTAAAAAGGAGAACTTTTTTTTTCCTTTGTTAAAAAACGTCCGTCGTCACTTTGTTGTTCCATCACTGCAACATGTTTAATAACTCGATGTTAAAATCAGAACGATGTCCTGTTCATTTCTTCAGAGGAAGATATTATTAACGTCACAGTATTCTCCTGCAGCAGGTCCACGTGTTACTCTGAAGACTGAAGTTTATTTACAGCAGTTTATTTTAATAATTAAATACTAAAGTCAAACCCAACACACACGCATAATAATATGAATTTATATTATAATAACTTAATAACTGATTCCTGTGTTCAGTGTCTGTCGGCTGTTTAATGTTCGGTGTCAGTGTTCATATTAAAACAGACAGACCGGAGCTGTGACACCAATATATACGATTTAATATTTGTTTATTTATGTGAGTCACATCATCATCGCGATATTAAACGGTGTTATCACACACCTCTCACCGCCCAGCAATGGACCACTGAATGTTTGAGTCTATAGAGACGTCTCTGACTCTGTATACACGCAGACTTAACAGTCCCAGTGTTATTAGGCTATAAATCAGCACTCACTGAATAACTGCTGTCCAATCAGATCGCTCGGTCAGACCTACCTGTCGTATAGAGGTCCATGAAAACAAAACAAACTGAAGCAACGGAACCGAACCAGAGACGATTGACCTGTGGGGGACAGTCACTAAATGTTGTACTGTTTCTTTAAATATTAAAATGAGCTGACTCATACAGGTGACCTGTCACTGACTCCGCCCCCTCTGTGTCTGTGTGTCCCTCTCAGGTGTGTAAACACGTGGAGGTGAGGGACTCAAAGATCAGCCTGCTGGACCTCAGGTGACAGACAGGAGGCGGCGTTCGTTTTTAATGTCTGAAGAGGAAACTGTGAACACACTGCCACTGTGTGTGTGTGTGTGTGTGTATGTGTGCGGGCGTGCATGCGTGTGTGTGTGTTCAGTTTTTTGGGAGTTTTTTGTGAACTTTGTTTTTTGAAGTTTTATTTGAGCCTCTGAAGCAGCTGCTGCCGTACATAGATATGAATCTATATTTTTGCGGTGTCCGTGTGGATCAGTTTCTCCGACCCTGTGTGATGTGACGATGTGTGTTTTAATATTAACAGCAGATATGATGTGTGTGTGACAGCTGAAGTGACAGAGTGCCTTCTCATCAAACACCCACATCACGTCTGAGTCTGTCGTCGACAGCAAAAACATTTATCTGCTCTGTAAATCACCGCTCCTGAAAGTCTGAAGGTAAATGTTCTTTTAGTTCTGGTGCTCTTTGATTACCTGTGGTGTCACACCGGCACGCTTTTGTCCTCTGATGTGTAACGGTGGCGCTCTCTTGTTCTCTGCAAAGTGCAAAGGCGGAGTTATACTTGTGCGTCAGCCCTATGCAGAGCCTACGCCATAGTCTACACCTCTGTGAGCATTTGTACTTGTGCGGTGGTGTGTCTGTGTCACTCTGCAGTTACACCTCCAAACCACTAGTGGGCGGTGGGGTTTCTGTTAAGTGCTGTAAAGTTTAGTTGATTCAAAACACATATTAAACACACATTAAACACACATTAAACATGGCTTAATAGAGACAATTTCAAACACAAGAACACAAATCAGCTTCACTATAACTAGCAGAATTCACAGACAAACACTTGTCTTTATCTGGACACATTTTCCCCACAAATACAACATGCTAACGTTGTTAGCACAAGCCTATGGCATTTTACATTGTAGAAATTAGCCTAGCAGCTAGCAGAGATTTCCTCTGCTCATATTTCAGCCAGGATAAATGACACAGTCAGTGGAGGCTTTATTGTTTCACAGTTTATTGTTTCTTATCTGTGAAATTAAAGTAAATAAAAGCTTTGTTTCCACTGAGGGAAATGGTTTCAGCTTACAGAGACAGACAGGAGGTCTGTGTCGCTGTGACGTGTTGTTACATTTCTGGGGTGAGTGTCAGACTACAGCGTAGACTCTGCGTTGACACTGTGGAGCTCTCATTCTCTGATGTCACACGGCGGCACTCACTCATTCTCTGGAGACAGGGACACGCCCCTCCAGCTGCTGAGATGAAACTTCAGATATTTTTATGAAGGAAACATTTTTAAACCACGTCGACATAAATTCAGAGCACAGACGTGATTCAGTTGGATTTTAAATGAACCTGTTTTTATGGGAAATATAATTTAAACGTACAGACGCTGACTGTTTTGGGATCAGGTCAGGTGCTGCGCCCCCTACAGGCAGGACCAGGAACTGAACTCTTAACACTGCAGTGTGAACAGAGCAGCTGGATGAGATTCAGTTTGTGCACCAGCAGATGTGCGTGTGTGTGGGTTGTTTTTCAAAATGCCATTTTGTGGTAATAAAACACAAACTGCTGCTCCAACAGAGTCTATGTTCTGTCTCACTGCTTTACAATTAGTTGTTTCAGACATGTGAATTCTGTGTTCCTGCAGGTTTAAATCATCACAGTGTGTTCAGTTCTGTGGGGGCGGGGTTAAAGTAAAGGTCTGGTGCTGTTATTTACATATATATGAGCTGCTTTATAAAAATGCTTTTCCATTAAGTTTTCATTAGCTAGTAACATTAGCCTGATAGTGTTTCACCAGACCTCTGGGAACAGTTGAATTAGTAGGTTGAAAACAGTAGCTTAAGTTTGTTACCGTTAGCCAGTACCATTAGCCTGATGGCATTTTCACAAAACCTCTGGGAGCAGATGACCCAGTAGGTAGAAAATAGTAGTTAAAGTTAGCTAGTATTGTTAGCCTGATAGTGTTTCACCAGACCTCTGACAACGGTAGACCTAGTAGTAGTAGCTAAAGTTAGCCAACGTTAGCTAGTAATGTTAGCTTACCTGTTTTACAGACTTCGGGAAACAGTTGACCTAGTAGGTAGAAAACAGTTGCTAAAGTAAGCTAACATTAGCTAAAGAGAACAGGTGTGCGGGGTGTTAAATGAAGAGCGAACGCAGAGATCTTGTATGAGAGCTCTTTATTGTCTTCCTCAGCCAATCGTCTGTCACCTCCATGTTGTTGATGTCACATGACACACTTCACTTTTTACAGACAGCACCATGAGGCCACGCCTCCTATTCACCTACCCAGAGTTCAACAGCTGTGACATCATCATTACACTGTGTGACATCATTACAAGACAGAAGATAACACCAGCGGGCAGCGTTCAAGCTTTATTCATCAAAAATAAAAACACACTTTTTGACAACAAACAGTACCAACATGGACGGGAGGGGGCGGGGCCACAGGTGGAGCGGGAGGGTGGGGGGAGGGGCTACAGATGGAGGAAAGCGCCACATTCACAGTTTTCAGGTGAGCAGAGAGGGAGGACGTTCTGAATATTTAAAGGTTCAGTTCACCAAAAACATCTGATGACGTGATGACTTCACTTCCTTTTGACCAGCTGTCAGAAAAAAAAACATTTATTTTAGCATCTTCCTAAATACCAAAAAACACCACTGACTGACTTCCTGTCGCTGCCGTCCGTCTCTGTGTGGATGTTTTTGGGGATCTGATCTGGGACCTGTTAGCTCGTGCTCAGTGAGGGCTAAAATAAGACGAGGTGGGGGGGGGCGGAGGGGGCGCTGGAAGAAAATGGCGACCCTGATGGATCTTTCTAGAAGCACTTGCGGTGGACAATGGACGGTCCCGCCTCGTCGTACTCCTGCTTACTGATCCACATCTGCTGGAAGGTGGAGAGGGACGCCAGGATGGAGCCGCCGATCCACACTGAGTACTTCCTCTCTGGGGGGGCAATGATCTGCGGAACAACGAACAATAAAGTTTAATTCAAAGGTTTGAACTTCCTGCAGTGAGTCACTGTAACAGGATGAGTCATGTGACCCTGTCTGCATGTTAACTTTACGTTCTGCGGGCTCATCCGGTCGTTCAGCTCGTTAACAGATCTCTAAGGTGCAGATGTTTCTTTGTGGACATGAAACGGAAATGATGAGTCGCTGACACCAGACGTCAACATGATGTCAGGAAGACATCAGAAAGACATCGGACTGTTACGTCAATCAGAGGTTAAATTCTGGTTGAAATGAAAATTACGTTGACGATTTTTTAATATGTCTAACGACATCTTGTCTCTTGGTATGCTTGTCTTGTATGCTGTAAAGCCCTGTAAGGCAAATTGTGACCAAATCTGTTGGAGTCTCTTGGTGTCTGTTCGAGTCTGTTTGAATCTGTTGGAGTCTGTTAGTGTCTGTTGGAGTCTCTGGGTGTCTGTTGGAGTCTGTTAGTGTCTGCTGGTATCTGTTAGTGTCTGTTGGAGTCTCTGGGTGTCTGTTGGAGTCTGTTAGTGTCTGTTGGAGTTTGTTGGTGTCTGTTTGAATCTGTTGGAGTCTGTTAGTGTCTCTTGGTGTCTGTTGGAGTCTGTTAGTGTCTGTTGGAGTCTCTGGGTGTCTGTTTGAATCTGTTGGAGTCTGTTAGTGTCTGTTGGAGTCTCTTGGTGTCTGTTGGAGTCTCTTGGAGTATGTTAGTGTCTGTTGGAGTCTCTTGGTGTCTGTTGGAGTCTGTTAGTGTCTGTTGGAGTCTGTTAGTGTCTGTTGGAGTCTGTTAGTGTCTCTTGGAGTCTGTTAGTGTCTCTTGGTCTGTTGGAGTCTGTTTGAGTCTCTTGGAGTTTCTTGGAGTCTGTTAGTGTCTGTTGGAGTATGTTAGTGTCTGTTGGAGTTTCTTGGAGTCTCTTGGAGACTGTTAGTGTCTGTTGGAGTATGTTAGTGTCTGTTGGTCCGTTGGAGTCTGTTTGAGTCTGTTGGAGTTTGTTGGAGTCTCTTGGTGTCTGTTTGTGTCTGTTTGTGTCTCTTGGTGTCTGTTTGTGTCTGTTTGTGTCTCTTGGAGTCTGTTGGAGTCTGTTTGTGTCTCTCTGTGTCCCCTGGTGTCTCTGACCTTGATCTTCATGGTGCTGGGGGCCAGGGCTGTGATCTCCTTCTGCATGCGGTCAGCGATACCCGGGTACATGGTGGTTCCTCCGGACAGAACGTTGTTGGCGTACAGATCTTTACGGATGTCGATGTCACACTTCATGATGCTGTTGTAGGTTGTCTCATGGATACCTGCCGACTCCATACCTGCAGGACGCACCAGGAGACAGTGGGTGAGACAACGTGTCCAATGGGTGAACAGACTGGTGACCAGACAGGTGGACAGACAGGTGAAGAGACAGACAGACAGGTGGACAGATGCCTAACCGATAAAGGACGGCTGGAACAGCGTCTCAGGGCAGCGGAACCTCTCGTTGCCGATGGTGATGACCTGTCCGTCAGGAAGCTCGTAGCTCTTCTCCAGAGAGGACGAGGTCGCCGCTGTCCCCATCTCGTTCTCAAAGTCCAGAGCGACGTAACACAGCTTCTCCTTGATGTCCCGCACGATCTCCCTCTCCGCTGCGGAGACACGTCATGTTGTTACCACGGTGACAGAAACCTGCTCATGATGATGATGATGATGGTGATGATGCGGTACCTGTGGTGACGAAGCTGTAGCCGCGCTCCGTCAGGATCTTCATGAGGTAGTCGGTGAGGTCGCGGCCTGCCAGGTCCAACCTCATGATGGCGTGAGGGAGGGCGTAACCCTCGTAGATCGGCACGTTGTGGGTGACGCCGTCTCCAGAGTCCAGCACAATACCTGATGGACAGAGGGACAGAGGGACGGACAGACAGGTCAGTGTTTGTGTCAGAACATGTAAAAACAATAATAAACATGTCTTCAGTCTGTCGGCTCGTCTGATTCGTCTGAGGTCATATCTGTATTGATATTATTGATCAGGTGATCAGTGGTATTGATTTCTTTGATTGACAGATTATTTGCTCCGACTTCCTGTTTATTGTGAGGAGACGCAGTGATGAAGAGGAGGGTGATGAAGAGTGTGGTCCAACCTGTGGTGCGTCCTGAGGCGTACAGAGACAGGACGGCCTGGATGGCCACGTACATGGCTGGAACATTAAAGGTCTCAAACATGATCTGAAAACAAACACAAACATATCTGTCAATAATCACTTCATAATATCAATATATCAATCAATAACACACAAATATATCTGTTGTTATTTATTTATTTATAATCAATTTATCAATTATCATCAATTACTATTATTTGTTGCACTATGTTAGATATAATGTATTGTTGTACAGTGTAGTATTATGGGATGTGTGCTGTAGTATTATGGGATGAACTGTAGTATAGTGTTGCCGTACCTGTGTCATCTTCTCCCTGTTGGCTTTGGGGTTGAGCGGAGCTTCAGTCAGGAGGGTGGGATGTTCCTCTGGAGCCACTCGCAGCTCATTATAGAAGGAGTGATGCCAGATCTGACCAATCACAGAGCAGAGAGTTACCACCTCCACCATCATCACATCATCATCATCATCATCGTCATCATCACTGACAGGTAATAATAATAATGGACAACCTTCTCCATGTCGTCCCAGTTGGTGATGATTCCGTGTTCGATGGGATATTTGAGGGTCAGAATACCTCTTTTACTCTGAGCCTCGTCCCCGACGTAACTGTCCTTCTGCCCCATACCCACCATCACTCCCTGA